GGGAAGGGAGGCAGGGAGGGAGGAAGGAAGGAAGGAAGGAAGGAAGGAAGGAAGGAAGGAAGGAAGGAAGGAAGGAAGGAAGGTATCCATTTCAAATCATTATAATGGAACATGCAACAAGCCAATACAAATAATTATACAGAATCTATCAAACAGAATCTATCAGGATATTACCATAAAAATGGAAAAGATGATAACTCCTGCTCTCTAAACCCAAAGAAGAAAGACTTCAAAAATATTTTTACATTTTTATGCTTGTTTTCATGGATCTGGAGATATTTTATAGTTTTGTTTGGAATTTCATGCAAGAACACGTTATGCCTCGCTCTGGTTCTTCTTCTTCTTCTTCTTCTTCTTCTTCTTCTTCTTCTTCTTCTTCTTCTTCTTCTTCTTCTTCTTCTTCTTCTTCTTCTTCTTCTTCTTCTTCTTCTTCTTCTTCTTCTTCTCCTTCTTCCTTCTTCTGCTCAATAAATATATTTTAAAATTGCCTTTATTATCTAAAGTAGTGTTTCTCAACCTTGGCAATTTTAAAATGTGTGAGCTTCTTAACTTCCAGAATTTCCCAGCCAGCAAGTACAGAGTCACTTTAGTTAGTGAGATGGGCAGTATATAAATTAATATAAAAAATAAAATAAAATCTATACATTTTTAAGCTGCTAATATTGATCTATATTCATTCTCTTTGTCCAGTGATTAAAAAATGACCCACAAGATAAAAAAAATCAAAGGTACTGAGAGAAAGAAATGGTAACAATGGTTTTCCTTGAAAAATAATTTTTGATTTAATTATCCCTTACTAAATAGGACAGATGGCCTTGCAAAAAGGCTTCTCCTTTATCTGCTGGAGAAGGAGAGGCAATATTATTTATTTAAATGGTTTCTATGGCTGCCCATCTTAAGTAACTCCGAGTGACTCTCAACAACATATGATCAATGTAGTTTTGATCACCATGCTGCAAAAAAGATGTTGAGACTCTAGAAAGAGTACAGAGAAGAGCAACAAAGATGATTAGGGGACTGGAGGCTAAAGCATATAAGGAATGGCTGCTGGAATTGGATATGTCTAGTTTAATGAAGAAAAGGACGAGGGGGGACATGATAGCAGTGTTCCAATATCTCAGGGTCTGCCACAAAGAAGAGGGAGTCAAGCTATTTTCCAAAGTGCCTGAAGGCAGGACAAGAAGCAACTGGTGGAAACAAATCAAGGAGAGAAGCAACCTATAACTAAGGAGAAACTTCCTGACAGAACAATTAACCAGTGGAACAACCTGCCTCCAGAAGCGGTGAATGTTCCAACACTGGAAGTTTTTAAGAAGAGACTGGACAGCCATTTGTCTGAAATTATATAGGATTTCCTGCCTGAGCAGGGGGTTGGACTAGATGACCTCCAAGGTCCCTTCCAACTTTACTACTATTATTATTAATAATAATATCTGAGTATCAATGCACCCAGAAGAAAGATGGGGAGCTAGCATGCTGCAAAGCAAAATGACATCCTCTTCTGTTATCATCTTTCAATACCCTCTAGGTCCTCCTTGGGATTTATAAACAATGATGGTTCACCTTCTATCTAAATAATAACATTATTGGATTTTACAATTATAAAGATAAAATGTATTACAAACTAAAAGAAAAAATAAAGGAATATAAAAAACAGAAAGTGTATAAAAGAAAAAAAAATCCCTGAACCCCAGTTGATATAGCTTGAGAAAGCATCAATGAAATGCTTTCCACATTTGTAATGTAGCACTGCCAGTTCCTATATAGGTATATGAGTCAGGGTGTATAATAATGGGCTAAATAGGCCTATAATCTATGCAATACAGGAATATCAATTTTTAAAAGATCCATTTTTCCCTACAAGTAATCATGTAGAAAGACAGGTTTTGTGCATGCTTCAAATGAAAATGCACCATATGACTATTAATGCCATAAGACCCTAAGGGTGGATAGAAAGTGAAAACTTCAAATGTTTGACATGAAAGTTTAACTCAGTCAGTTCTCTCTATGAAAGTCTTCTTTGATGAATAAAGGTAAATGTAAAGGTTTCCCTTTCTGAACAAAGGTCTTTGCATTCATGTATGATACAGACCAGCACCATTCTATCAGGGAACAAGTTATATTATCATCTATATGCCATCCATCAGAAAAAAGAATGCAATCTAAATATCAAAAAGACATCAATATGAATAGAACATGAAACAAATGAAGAACTTTTGTAAATTATTTTTAACCCTTGGCTTCAGGGTGAAAAAGTTCCTTTAGCCCGACAGTTTTAAGCAAAGAATAAATGAAGATTATTTACTGCAACACACAGGAAAGGCACTGTCAAGTCATGACAAGAAAATAGCATTGCATGTTAAGTGACAACATTATTGAATTCTATAATATTCTTACAAATATTGCAGGAAAAATAAGGGACAATATATATTTATATGAGTAATATTGGTAATACCAGCATTTTAATTGTGATATATTAGCCTGTTCTTCATTCTAAAAATCACTAATTAAAATTTATAAGATATATAGTACAGATTGTATTTAAACAATCTTACTCACCCTTTGATTCCAATGAAATCAAGTTAAGGATGACTAATAGGTGACTAATATATTTTAGGATCTCATCCAATGGATTAATCTAATACATTGTCTATTTTATCCCAGTAGTAAAACAAACATTTATGCATAATTGTTAGCTATTCAAATATTAAAGGCAGCTATACAGGAAAATATTGAATTCCTGAAATCCATCATGGGGAGAGAGATTAGGATTGTAGTATAAATATAAGATTAAGAAAACTCTCTTTCATAAAGTATGGGTAGGAAACCTGTGACACTACAGAAACTGTGGAACTACAGCTCACAGTTTCAACCAGCATGACTAGTGATGAGGAATTGTATAAGTAATTCAGCAATATATGGAGGAGTTATCAGAATCAGAAAATTCAGAAAACTCAAAACATTAACCTATGGTCACATGTATCATTGTGGAAGAATGTTCTATCAGATTGGCTAAATCTCTTTAGAAACTCTGTGTGTGCTACAGTATAGTTGCATGCACATCTTTTCATGCCCTCCTCACAGCATTTTCTGAGAAGGGAAAAATGCAAATAATCAATGGAAAAAAATCAATGCTATTAATATAACATCTATCCTAATTTCTTATAAAGGCATCAATAAGGTTTAGTAATGTTTGGTAAGCAACCAGAAGATAATTTCACTGTGCTAACAAACTGTATAAACAAGGCTAGAATATACTGTTTCCTTTTATTTTTTACATAAAACACAAGGTAATTGGTTGTAAAAGTGTTTAGATGACAATAGTTATGTAAAATTGAAAATCATTCCATAGTCTATACAAGGACTCATACTCACTGGCATATACACTTTTATTTTTTTCTATAATTCAGAGATAGAATCATCTACCCAACCACATATATATATGTATATGCTGTCGGAAACACTTTTATTGATATTATATTTTTAACTTTTTATTGAAAATATTTAAATAAACACCTCAGTTCAGTTTTTAAATATAATTTATTTATATAATTTGCATTGTTTGCATTAGCTCATGTGAATGAAATAATTTTCAATGTTAAGAGTAACTTTTAAAGGGATTGCAACTGCTACTATTTGTATTTTTTGAGATTTTATTTATTGTAGATGGTTGATATGTCCTTTCAGTAACTTAGGCATATATATTATGCAAGATGTATTCAATTTTGAAAACAAAACATCAGAACAGACTTAAATTTCATATATCTTGGTAAAATTATTAATAGTAGTTAGAACTCAGCATAACATATGATTTATAAACCTTGTGTATCGTTAAATATTTACAATGTAATGTTTGAGCTTTACTAGTCAGTAATAATTCTATAAATTATTTAACCTTTTAAAAAATCCAGTTTTATCCTCCCATTTCATTTGAATAAAATTAAACTGTCTTAAATCCAAACACCTTAGTTTGAAAGTGTTTGTGATGTCAGTCACAAGAAATATAAATATATCCTATAGTATTAATAGTATATTTTGTATTTTATTTCATCATGTTTCAGTATGGGAAAGATATTTAGGGAAAAGATTTATGCAGAAACTTAAACTGTATTTTGTTATTATTGTCCTAGGTAACACACACACACACACACACACACACACTTGTTTCATTTGTTCTATGCAAAGTAAATTTGAATTTGAAGGGCAAGTTAGGAAGAGACACCATAATTCTCATTTTTTTATAACAAGAGTATGTCATGTAGTTTAAATTATAAGATATATAATATTTAGACATGGATGCTGAACAGCAGACCTTGAATACTGGTTGAAACTCATATTTTTGTTACACTAATAGGAGAATGAAACTTATGTCTTTTTGAATATTTGCTATGCCTTGCTCCATTTGTGATGTTTCTCCCCCCCCTTACACACACACACACACACACACACACACACACACAAACAAACACACACTATTAAGCAATGATCCTTAAGAGAAATGAGAGAGTTTAAAGCAGGAAACAGAAATGTATTGAACCATGGGCAAAGAGAGGCAAGAAACATTTGAACTGCCAACAAACAGTTTGGTTTAATGGTTAAGGTACCAGGCTAGAAACTCTGAATTCGAGTCCTGCCTCAGGTATGAAAGCCACCTGGGTCATTTTGGGCCAATCACTCTCTCTCTCAGCCCAACTCATCTCCCATAGATGATGTTGTGGGGAAAATAGGAAGAGGAAGGAGTATTAGGTATGTTTGCTGATTTGAATTAGTTACAAAAATAATAAATTGAGATTAAAAAGAAGTCTTTATAAAATAGAATAAAATATTAGGACAAGAAACTAAGACAAAATAATATTGTCCAGAGTGTACCAAGTCATCTTCCAAAACAATATCTATTGAATATTAGATTACAGAGTCCTTTTTACAGCTCTATCATTGCACTTTTTTTCTTATCCATTTACATCAGCCAAAACATATCTGCTGATATTTACCGAGCTTACCTGAGCAGCACCGCAGCTTCCCACAGATAGAATCCTGAGACAGCAGCACGCAGGTATTTAATGTGGGCCATGGTATGGCGAGGTATTTACAACCTCCTCCCAAAAGAACGTGTTGGAGTCATAAGGAGAGGGGGAGGTTCCTGGAGGATCGGAGAGTTCGGAATGAGATCGCTAGCTGGAAAAGCTGCCGAGTTTTCAGGACCCTGGAGAGCTCCTTGACAATCGACAGAACCTGTACGAACCGAGGACGTCTTTTCCCAGGGTGATCTATTCGCCGGCGTTTGGGATGTCGTGCATTTTGGGGTTGTTGTTGGCAACCAGCTCGCTAGGGTTTGTATTGTGCATCTAAAAGAGAGGCTAATCCCAGGGGGCAAGACCAGGCAGCCAATGAAGGGCATCGGGAAAAGGCAAGATGCAGCAAAGTACACCTACTTTGAGGTTTTCCTCTGACCCTTTTTTCCTTCTCTGTCCAGAAGCCAATTCGCCACATTCCTGAACACTGGCAATAGCAAGGCTAGAAAGGGAAGGGAAGGAGGTGGAGACAGATTCAAAGCAGTGGACTTCCCTCCCACCTCCCCTGTCATTCGGGGAACTCCCAGACAAATAGAAGGTTGTGCAAGAGTTGTTTTACTAATGAATAAGAGAGAACGAGATGTAAAAATGAGGTGGGGGCGGGACAAAATTGGTAGTGTGATCTTCTCAAAAGGGATCCTTTAGAAAGAAAAAAGAGGAGGGGACTACAGAATTACAGGACGGAACTACTGAAAGGGACAAAAAATCTGTGGGAAGAAAGTATTCCAAAGAGATAGCTTTTCCTGGATTGATATGCATGCCTAATATGCCTAATGTAAAAATGGGTCAGTCTGGGAATCATTTGTCTTGAAATTTATATCAAAGGTTTAGCTATGGAAGCCTGGAGGAAACCTGTGGTGAGGCATGTGTGATCTTAGAGTTCTAGAGAAGAGAATTATTACCAGTCTTTTGTGTATTTGGAAGACTTGAGGGGAAGGAGGTGGACTGAATCTTCTTCTTCTTTTTATCTCCTTCTGTCTCCCTTTCTATGAATGCACTGGAGATGGTAAAACTTTCACTCATAATTTATCAGTATAAATGCTCTATTAATAAAGCTGCATTAATGGTCTTCTCTGAGGATGCATATACTATTTTATTTATATATTTGCACAAGCATATGAGTCTAAATGATAAAACATTTACCTACATATGTGGATGATGACAAAATAAGCATTATAATTGTATTCTTTTAATACAATGTAAGCATTATTTTTACATATAAGGATCATTTTTAATGAAATCATCAACTATCACTTAAGTAGAAATTAGCAAATTCCATCCAAATTAAATGAATACTATTACTATTTGTAAGTGCATAGTGCAATAAAGGTGAAAGTACATTTAGGTTCCTTTTATACACTTTTTTTTAAAGCAAAGTAATTGTCTTGTTTTCTTTAGAGATTGATGTGATTAATAATACTTTTCATATTAGTACTTAAAATTTATATAATGGCATTTCTAATGTAAACATGAAGAAGTTCTACTTTGTAAAGTAGTATTGCATTATATATGCATTATTCAGTTAGTCCCAAAATGTTGTATCAGAATCTGTGCTATATATAGCAATTTATTTTACTTATTTCACATATTTTGATTTGATGTTCTGAATGCTTTTAACAAAGGATTAAAAATATCCATTTCCGGGGGGGGGGGGGAGCCTAGAAGGCTTTATAGGATACTGAAAAATTGGTTTGAGATGTTCAATTAAGCATGCAAACAAGTTTAGCAATTTTTGAAAACATGTCAGATGTAAAGATACTTACTTCTGCTGTATTGTGCAACTATTTGGTTTCATTATTTATTCTTTATGCATCTTTATCATACATTCCTATTATTGAAATGTACTAAACTCTGTACTATCCACAAGTAAGATAACTTATTAAATTGTGCTATCTTCAAACATGGGCTGAACTGAAGAGTACCATCTTTTTATTTTATTTTTAAATGAAATTCTTAAAACCAGTTTTTTAATATAAGACATGGATCTTTTTTTTTAAAGAAAACTCTGTGAGATGCACATGAACACCCATCTTAAAATTTTCTAGAAAATATATTCAAGTATAATTTTTATCAAACACTCCTAAGCAAATATATTTGAAACCTAAAGAAAGCTATTTTTAAAACACACACACACACACACACACACACACACACACACACACACCTATTCACTGAAGTGCAATAATTCTATCACAAGAAAAAACAGTCTCCCATTTGATGGAAGAACAGCTTACTTTGGCAATCTCAATGTCAGAATCAACATTATAGAGTAGTAAGACAATTGCATGTAATTATTATCACCACACCAAGGATATATTGAATGTAAATGAAAGCTTTAAAATATATCACAGTTCATCATAGGCCAGTGGTGGCGAACCTATGGCACGGGTGCCAGAGGCGGCACTCAGAGCCCTCTCTGTGGGCACGCGCACCGTCGCCCAAGTCCTAGGCCTTCAGCTGGGTTTTATGAAACTTTTTCGCTTTAGGTCTCTGCCGCTGTGTGCAAAAAAAAAAAAAAGGTTCAATCAATCAATTTCAACTTCTCGCGGGAAAAAAAGATCTTGCAAAGTTGGAATTGATTGATTGAACTTTTTAGTCCCACCCAGTCTGCCATTACCACCGCAGCGACACCCACCCAATGGGCCACGCCCACCCAATGGGCCACACCCAGCCGGCACTCAACAATGCATAAGTGGGTTTTGGGTTGCACTTTGGGCACTCAGTCTCTAAAAGGTTCACCATCACTGTCATAGGCCATTGTTCCTTAATATTCTAGACAACTTCCCAAACACAGCAAAATGCTGAGAAACATAGCACTCCTTAGAAAAGTTGTATTTTGTAATTTGTTGGTTTCTAACATTTTTTGTTTTTAATAAAATTAATAGAATATGACAGTAGCTACTTTAACTCTGGAGATGTGGGATGCTGTACAATGACTCAGATTGCCATTCTATCTTTCCTGAAAACCTTATCTCTTTGTTTCTTAGATTATTTCACATAAATATAAAAGGATGTGAATGTAATATGAAACTCTCCTGCCTTTTTTTGTTTCACATATCAATGTTACAGACATAGATTGATAACAGACCTTAGACCACTGAGAAATTTTAGTTAATGGTATATGTATTGGGAAGGGTTTGAAATTTGTCACCAGACATGAAGACAAAAATTTTTATGGTAATTAAAAGCAATGAAGATAGAGTAAATTCTCCATAAATGTTTATCATATATTAGCTGCAAGTTAAGATGAATTTGTGATGAATAATGATAAATATGTCTCAAAGATAATTCTATCAACCAATAAAAGTGCCTAATGTAGGACTTAATTATGGAAAAGAGAATGAATATTTAATGCTACATGTATTGACAGCTGCGAGAATAGTATTTGCCCAATTTTGGAAAAATGAAAATCTACCACCTGACCAGATTATTATCATGAAAATCTTAGAATGTGCAGAAATGGATAGACTAACTTTAGAGATTAAAGAGAAAGAAGATTCAGTTTTTTTCAAAACATGGGAAAATTTTTATTAATGGTTAGCAATATGATAGAATGAGAAAGGATGGTGAAGTTTAACAGGATGAATGCTATTTATTAACTAAGCTTTACTTTTATGACTGTTGTTATTATTAGTGATTATAACTGTTTAGTACTATATTAATTACTGTCATTTAATATTTGTACCCAGACGATAGTCTGCTTGCTAAAGTGTTGTATTTTCTGTTGGGGGTAACTCCACTATTGTACCTACTCCTACCCTTATCCCAACCCTATCCCCTAACCCCATCCAATATCCATACCGGTCTTATCCCTTCCCTACCCTTATAAAACTCAATAAAACATTTATATAAAAAAGTGCCTAATGTGTTGGTTTAACTCTGGTATCATCAAAAAAACTATTATTGGAATCATGCACTAATGTACTGATAATTGTTTGATTGCAACATTATGCTACCAAGTATTATTATGAATAATAGCACTATACAAAATAGATACTAATAGTTTTAATGAAAAGTCACTAGTGCCTATCATCTCCAGGAATAGCTATAGTTGACATACAGTTAAACATAGTCACAAAGAATACATTCATAGCCAACACTGGTAGATATTGGCCAGACCTTCATCCAAATGGTAAAGTTGAGGAAAATATTATTATCACATACTGTTTCTTTTATCTCCTGTCCAACTCTCATTTTGTCTGGAATAAACTCCAGCTTTCTAATCTTCATGAAGACATTGATCTGGAGCTTACACAGCTTTTTAGATTTAGACGAAATGGACAAATACATATAACCTCAAATACAAAACTCAAATTATCTCTCCTATGGATTCAGGTGCTTGATAAATAGCACTGGGACAATATGTAACGAGATACATACTAAGACTTCAAAAAGACTTTCCATCATCCTTTTATCATAGTTAATCTGCAAGATGTGTGAATTTAATTATTAGAACAAAGGCATCATCCATATGTCAGTTTTCTCATATAAATATGAATAATTAACTAAAGCAAATATAATATAAATTATTTAAACACCTGCTGTTTGTGACAGTCATACAGAAGAAAATCTACTTAATTATAAGAAAATCAGTAAAAATAGAAGAAATCCACATTCCAGCATGGCTCTTAACTTTTCTTTAAACAAATAGTATTTGTTCATTTATTTTAATTTTATATTAGCTAGTCATAGCATTCTCTGAACAGGTGAAGTTTTTTTCTTCATTAAAACAAGGATTAGCTGCTGCATATTGTGAGAAAAATGCTATTGAAACTAGTTCTTCAAAATTCTAAACTGTGAACTGCTGAAATAAAGTAAAGAGACATGTGGAATTTATTTTAAAGACTTGCTTCATGAGAATCAGAAACATTTTAAAATATCTCAGACACTATAGCTAGTCACAGTTACACACCATTCAGCAGCATGTTTATGAACCTAGTCATCCAGGCACTATCAACTGCTTTAGAAAAATAAAAGCACATCTGTTCAGAGCCAAATAAGTAAATGCTTATATTTATTTAAAAATGAACACCTACTGTATCAAGTAGTTTCAAAACGTCCTTAAGCAGCTATGAATCTATTGAAACAATACATTCAATGTTCAATGTTGCTTGAGAATGGGAATTTCATATAATTTGTGTCAGATTATGCTTCCATTGAACCTGAAATATGGGACAGATTATTATTAGCACCAAGTAATAACATGTTTTTCTTTCTTTCTTTCTTTCTTTCTTTCTTTCTTTCTTTCTTTCTTTCTTTCTTTCTTTCTTTCTTTCTTTCTTTCTTTCTTTGTGGGATTAATTGCACGAATATGTCCATGGGCATCTGCCCATAGACATCTCCCACAAGGTCCCTGAGATAACAAACGGACTGTTCCAGACACCGGATGCATTCATCAACCATTTGGACAGACTCTGATAAGAACACCTGCTGTAGCC